GTCCTGTTAGAATACGGCATTCCCATGACTATTTGAAAAGGACATTTTGTGAATGACCAGTTAGAATTTAAGATTCCCATGACTATTTGCCAAGGACATTTTGTGAATGTCCAGTTAAAATTTGAGATTCTTATGACTATTTTCCAAGGACATTTTGTGAATGTCCAGTTTGAATTTGAGATTCCCGTGACAGTTTGCCTCGTATGTAATCGGTGCGTTTCGCACGGTGTTATGAGAAGTGGACTTGAGAACTTGAAAACGCCTGGCAGAATTGTTGGAAAGGGAACCAGGGGAAGGTAAAGTAGATGGGGAGGGACAGGAACACTGACCTGATCCGTGATAGTTTGGGAAGGCAAAACATGACAGCCGACGCCTTTGGGTGCGCTACATGTTGATGATGATGCAGTCTAGCTGCCTGGGAGAAAAGGATAGGGGAAATTGAGGAAATGGCTGTCTCTGTTGATACAATAATTTATTCTTCTCATAGTCCATGCCATGTGGCATTTGTCATCGCGTTGCCTTCAGCTCTCATCCCTCCAATCCTTTTTCTCTCTCTCTCTCTCTCTCTCTCTCTCTCTCTCTCTCTCTCTCTCTCTGTCTGTCTCTGTCTCTCTCCCTGGAGTTAATCAGTGCAAGTCTATGTTTGTTTTAGTTTGTCAGCGAAAGCAATCAACCAGTTAAGCAATATACCTCTTACAAGTCGGCTCTGTGGCTAAGTCGATGCAAACGCTTCGTAATGCCGGGATGCCGGGTTCGAGCCCAGCTGCGGGCCATGCACATTGCGTTGGTTTCGACAGTGGTATCAAGAAAGCCGACCGTCCAGGGTAATGGCAAACTATTGGACGTAAATTTGCCTAGAAACCCATACAGGGCTAACCTATACAGCTAACCTATATGACCTCATACAAAATGGTGGCAACTTGTTATTAACATTTCTTGAGGTCAGTGGATAGAGAGGGGGAAAAGGGGTGTGGGAGGGGTGTGTGTGCTTTCAACAGGACCGCGTAATTAGAACTGTCAAGAGGCCAGCAGGACTTAAGAGCTGGGACTTGCCCACTTGACGGCTACAATTTTCCCCGGCGGTAGTTGAATCTCTTAGATCTCTTTGCGTGCCCCTGTGTGTGTATGTACACTTTGTATTCTCGGCATTGTCATATGTCTGAGTCTCTACCTTCTGTATTGTCTATTCCGTTCAGTGGAAAGTTATCTTGTGCCCGTTTTCCGGGGTCATAGGTCATTCCTATTGTCAAACATCGCGTGGGACGTCTCTCCTAGTGTTAATTTTATTATGATCTGTGCATAGATCAGTCGTATTGGATACACAGCACTGCCACTGGATTGGGCATGTGAATCACAATGTTGGCTTGATTCAGGATGTTGTTAGTCTGATTAATGATGTTGAGTTAACAACAATTACGTCTGGTGGATCGAAGACAGTTTAGGTAAGTTGTGTAGTTACATTGCATTTGGGTTCGGTGGGGGTTACCTAGTCACACGACCTCAGACACCCTTCCCCTGTCTGGCTGGGTCCTTGGGGGGGGGGGTAGCTGGGGTTGATAGACCCACTGACTCCCCAACAAGCATTATGTAAAAGGTGACCAGTTAGGGCTTTGCTGAAATGGGGTATGTTTTGCCAAAAGGCGCAGATATGGCATGCAAACGAAGAAACACTTTTTTCGTAGCAAAAAAAAATCCCGGGTCTGGCCATTTGCCATTGCGATGGAAACCAAGCTGTATGTATTATTGGACATATATGTCTACTGTCTGTTTCTTTATTATGTGTATCATTGGACATGTGTCACACTACATCCTTCGTAGACACATGTGGCGTTTTCATCTGAAAACCTGTGACAGAAAACACCTTTTCGGGATTGAATTATCATATGTCGAAATACAGTATTATATATTATGTTCTAAAAGGTGAATTTTCTTTGCATTTCTAGCTTATTTTTCTATTTTTATTTTAACCTTTTCTTTTTAGTTTGTTATTTTGCCTTTCGGAAAGTTGTCATAATCCAGCTCATTTATTTCCTCAGTCGTAAAATTATAGTCATGTACCCAAGCAGGGAAATTATGGTCGCTTGTCCACCCTGGTCGTCTGCAGTCGTGAAATTAAAATCATTTGTCCCAGGCAGGGAAATTATGGTCCCTTTGAAAACACAGTCGTTTGTTACAAGCAGTGAAATTATTGTCGTTTGTTCTTCGCCGTAAAATTATGGTCCCTTGTCCCGATGGTGTGAAAAGATTGTTGTTTGTCTCAAACCGTCAAATTAAAGTCATTTGTTCTAAGCCTTGAAATTATAGTCCCTTGTACAAGCTGTTAAATGACTGTCGTTTGCCTCAAGCCATGAAATGATTGTCTTTTGTTCAAGCTGTGAAATGATTGTCTCAAGTCGTCAATTTACGATCGCCTAACATAGAAGTAAACTTATTCTAATATGGAGCTAACAAATTATGGTCGCTTGTCACAAGTTATGAAATTATATTAATTTATTAAACCTGTGAAATTAGTTAGTTAGTTAGTTAGTTAGTTGGGTTATCCTCATTGCACTCCGGACATGTCCATAGGTGCTCAGATCCTCCCTTCAGTATGAACCCCAACGTCCGATGGCCAATAGTACCAGTTCTATGTTACCTGTGAAATTATGGTCGTCAAACGTTGTGAAATAATCTGTTATCTTACCTCTAAACCTCCCAGGTCGACCCAGCCTTGAGTGTGTACCGGGTGCAATCCCGGGAAGTAGAGGCGGCCGGCGTGATGCTGACCACATCACCCATCTTGTGCCGTTGGTCTTTAAAAATATAGGTCTAGCCCTATATGCCCTATACGCCTAAAGGCGTGGAAAGGGTCCTTTACTTTATTTTACTTTACCTCTAAACAGTACATCGCGAGTTCTCTCTCTTTGTCTCTTCCTGCGGCTAAATCTTTCCAAACGTGACAATATTCTCTACTGCCCTTTCCCCCTCACTACTTGAATGAACGTGGTGTAGTTGCTAGACGCTCGCCTGTCGATCGGAAGGTCGTGCGTTCGGGTCCTGACGGAGCCGGACTGTTTTTAGAAATGACCTTGGCTCTCAGGTCGACCCAGCCTTGAGTGGAAACCAGGCGCAGTCCTGGGAAATAAAGGCGACCGGCTTGTCGCTGACTACATCATCTAATAAAGTGCCGATTGGCCTATAAGATATAGGTCTAACCGTATATGCCCAATACACCTAAAAGCGCGGAAAAGGGTACTTTACTTTTACGTAAACGAACCCTGCGGGAACTAAAGCTGCGTGTAATTTTTCTAGCGTTCATTAGCTTTGTAAATGGCAAACATAATTTTACCCTCTCTCACTCTCACTCTCTCTCTCTCTCTCACTCTCTCTCTCTCTCTCTATTTCGCCTAAAAGAAACCCACTGTGCTTGCTCCACTGTAAAGCACTATATAGTCATCACCATCATATCTACCGGCCACCCAATGGGCGACCCCGGTTGCTGATAACTACTCAGGTGCCTAACGAATCCAGTCATATGCCGTCTCCGCAGTGAACGTTGACCGGAATGGATTCCCAATGTTAAATCTTTCATCCTGGTTGCTCTTTTTTTTTGGGGGGGGGGGGGGGGGAATTGCTATTCATCTTGTTCTTGGTATATTTCTGATGCATTTTACTGTCCACCACTCTGTTAAACGTATTGTTCGCCCGGTTGGGTGACGACAGCAGCATGACCCGTCAGTAGAGCCGGTCTTAAGGTTGGCTCTCCTTGTGCACGATTCATAAAGGCTTTAACGGGCACATTCTAGAACTCGGTGTTGACTTAATTGGACCACGCCTCTCCGGGGCCCGCCCTCCAGGGATAGTCTTGTCAGGTCAGCAGGGCTGCCAATGCTGGATTTTCCCCCGATCTGGGTTTTTCGTAGACGCCTCAGGGAAATGTGGTTTTTAAAAAAATTTATCCTTATATAAAAGTGGTAAATGTTTCGTTTCGTAACTAAACATTTTGTACATTTTAACAATTTGGTTTTGTTCTTTGTCTATGCTTGGGTTTTTGTTTAGCGAAGGTGGGTTTTTCAAAAAAAAAAAAAAAATATCCCATTGGCAGCCCTGCTTGTCAGCCCTCTAGCGGTAGTCCCGGGAATGGGTTTTGCCAGCGAAGCCTGTGTGCAGTCCATAATGGAACCTGACATTGTAAAACCGTGCACCTCTACACGGATAGAATCCCTATGGTTTTGTGGCCTCTACATAAAACCCTGCCGGAAAATTGTTTCTGTGAAGCAGAGTCGTATCAACAGTGAAGTTTATACTAGAGACAACATTTCTGATATAGACAATCTATTTCAAGGGAACGAAAGAAAAAGAATAAGAAATAAATTTCAAACAGATAGCAAAATAAAAGGGGGGGGGGGGGAGAAGCAGAGTGGGAACTAGCTATACACACTACATGTTTAAAAGTATATAGTTGACTATACATATATATATATATATTGTAACATAATATAAATATACCAGCAGATTGCAGACCGCTTGAATTAAGCATCGTAGAAGGTTCTTTTCAGCTTTTCAGAGTAATAATTAAATTGGAGTAATTAAAAAAAAAAAGCCAAATCTTTAGAACGGTCACATTTTTGGCGAGAAACAAGTTCACCAATTTATAATTAGCTCTCGTCAAGGAATATGGAATGTATGACAGTTTCGATCTAACCACGTTATTTTGTTTTAATTTCAGATGAATACGTTGCACTTTGCTTATCCGGCCAACAAACGACTTGACAATCTGAGGGAGTTTTCTTTCATTTGGAAGCAGTCTTAAAATACGGTTGAAAATAATAGCCAATAATGGTCTAGGAAAAAAGTCAGAGCTTGCGTCGGCGACATCATATCATAGTCGTCTGTTATTAAAACGTCAGGCATGTGAATACCAGCATCTAATGCTGAACTTTCAAAAGTGAAACCTGTATAAAAGAAATAAAGGACACTACAAAGAAGCCATCTTCTGAAATTACCGCCAGACTACAGACATGGGCGCCAACCAATCAAACGCTGAAGAGCTGTCACGTGACCAATCGTGGGCAGGTAACTCGCAGAACAAGGGGCACAACTCGTCTGGAAGTGCCTATAACTATAACCAAGGAATGTTGGACAAGAACAAGAAAAGCAAAGGTATGTGTCTGTAACTGTATATTTTAGTGTCCCTACTCAGAACATAACCTAGCGAAAATAAGAGGTAAATTAGCTGATTGTGTCTGTGTACAGTTTACGTTAAAATTACCCACAGAATTACTGTTTGTCTATTGATCAGCTGGGGGAAAGTTCAGGCAGCAATGCTTGCCGCTCAAATGTGTGACCTGAGAGCTTGTTTGTTCCGTTGCTAGGGCTGCCAATGATGGGTTTTTACCCCCAGATGTGGGTTTTTATTTGACGCCTTTGGTTTAAATTTTCTCCTTATTCACCAGCTGTAAACTCTGGCGGAAAGTTGTGGTTGTTCATCCACTTCTGGACTGCAGTCCTGTTCCAGAACCTGAGTGTTGCGTATGCATCCGTTTTACAGATCTGACTTATTTGTATGCAGACTGCTGGTTCCTTGCCTCTCAGGCAGATGCACTTGACTCTGAAGGAAGCTCCCACTTAGTGACACATGGTTTTGGGTAGGCAGTGGTCTAGTAAGACAGGACGAGACAGAAGAACATTCACAAGATACCTAGGCAATTATGGAGACAACAGCATTAGAAATGAAAATGGCGAAAGACTGTTGGATATATGTACACAACATGACCTTGTTATTACCAACACCTTTTTTCAACATAGAGCTTCACAAGTTTTTACATGGTATAAATGGAATGATCCAGATACCAAGAGTCAGATTGATTACATCTTGACGAGAAAAAGAGACTTTCATCAAGTTACAGATGCGAGAGTTATACCAAACTTGAGTTTAGATACAGATCATAGGATGGTGATCCTTGACAGAAAAATCAAGATAAGTTATCAAACCAAAAAGAAATGTAATAAAAGTGACATAATAAAATGGAAAGAACTAGAGTGTGAAGAAAACAGGCGAGCGTTTCAGCAAAAATTACAGGAAAATTATGAACAGCTTCCACAAAAACACTCTTGGGGTAAATACAGAATGGTTGAATTTCAGAGACACCACTATGAAAATAGCACAAGAAATATGTGGAACTAAAAGGAAAGGTAACATAGGGCGTAAGCTCTCAACATGGTGGTCTGAAGAAATAAGAAGTATTGTGAGCAGTAAAAAGAAAGCTTATGGCATTTGGTTGAGGAGCAGAACAGAAGAGGATTACATAACATACAGGAAAATTAGAAGAGAAGTAAATAGAACTATCAGAAAAGCAAAAAGAGATTCATGGGAAAAGTTTGGAAGCAAGCTGGCTGAAGAAGAAAGATCAGCAGTGAAAAACTACTACAAAAAAATCAAAGGCATGAGAAACAGGAATGAAGAATACAACCCAACAGAAATTATAAATGATGAAGTTGGCCAACCTTTAATAGAACCTACTAAAATCTTAGCAAGGTGGAGTAATTACTTTGAAGCATTACTTAGCTGCAATAAAACAGATAAAAGCAGGGAAGAACATAAAAACAACTCGGAACTAACAGCAGAGGAACTAGAACCAGGTATATTATTGGATGAGGTAAAATATGCCATTCGAACCGCGCCTAGACTAAAGGCGACAGGTATTGATGATCTACCAGCTGAGGCCATCAAGGCAGCAGGAGAAACGGGAGCAATATGGTTAAAGAGAATATTTCAGGTGGCATGGGAAAATCAAGAAACACCATCAGATTGGCAAACTGCTGTCATTGTCCCGCTGTGGAAAAATAAAGGAAGTAAGAGGGAATGTACTAACTACAGAGGAATATCACTTCTCAGTCACACTGGGAAAATGTATGCTAAGATCATCGAAAAAGGCTGAGACCATTGATAGAGTATCAACTTTCAGAAGCACAGATGGGCTTTCGACGAAACAGAAGTTGCACAGATGCCATTTGTATATTGAGACAACTATCAGAGAGGGCAATAGAACACGATAAGACATGTTTGTTGACATTCATAGACCAAGAAAAGCCTTCCATAGAGTCGACAAGAATATGTTGTTGGAATGTATGGGAAAAAAAGGAATCAGCAATCATCTCATTAATATTTGCACAAGCCTGTACACACGTAGTAAATGCTGCATAAGATCGAAGGCAGGGTTGTCAAGAACTTTTATACTGGTGTGCGTCAGGGCTGTGTACTATCGCCGCCTTTTTTTATAACATACATGGACGCCATATGTAGCGAAACAGACTTTAATCAGGAAGAAGATATAACAGAATTACTTTTCGCCGACGACCAGGTACTAATAGCAGAAAATATGGAATGCCTACAGAACCACCTAAATCAAATTAGTAACAAAGGGGAGGAATATAATATGAAAATAAACACTACGAAGACAGAGACAATGATGATAGGAAGACATAAAGACAATTTAGAAATTAAATTAAAAAACAACACCCTGAGACAAACAGAGGAATTTAAGTATTTGGGAGCAATTTTTACTTCAGACGGAAAACTGGACAGAGAAATTAGCTCCAGATGTGCCAAAGCTAATCAAGTAATGGGCCAACTATCTCCCCTGTTGACACACAAGCAGATACCTCAGAGTACTAAAGTGAATCTTATCAGAACTATTTTTTGGCCAATACTATGCTATCAGTGCCAAACGTGGACACTTACATCCTCCAATGAACGTAAAATTGTGACAACAGAGATGAAATGCCTTAGAAGAGCTGCAGGAGTTTCAAGGAAAGACAGAATACAAAATCATGAAATCAGACGAATGCTAGGAATAAAGCCAGTCTTACAGGTCATCAAAGAACAACAAATGAAATGGTTTGGACACCTAACAAGAATGCCCTGGTACTATCTGCCACAGCGAGCCACACTAAAACGTTACAACGGGTATAAAGCGAGTGGAAGACCTCGGAAAAGATGGAGTGATGGCATTAAGAACAGCCTTACAGAAATGAACATCAGTCTTAATAGTGCTCTTGACAGAGCTCATCAACGAACATTACATCTCCCCCCGACACTTCGATGAGGTACAAGGTGGAAGAGAAGAAGAAGAAGAAGAAGTGGTCTATTCTTGTTTTTTTCTATAACAGGGCTCCGGAACCCACAGAGGTTTAAATTTTGCAATCTGGGATTTGAAAAAATATTATATAAAAGTGGGTAAATGTTTCGTTTCATAACTATAAAATGTGTACGTTTGAACAATCTTTTTTTTTTTTTGCTTTTGAATTGCTTGAGTTTTTGTTTAGCTTAGCTAGGTTTAACTCTGTGAGTCCCAAGGAACACATCATACGTTCATAGGTTCCCGCCTAGAGGCCCAATGAACTCAAGATGTGCTGATTTTTCATCTCTTTTGACTACCCCTTGGGCCTCTGAGGCTTAACCCCCTGGGATTCAAAGAGTTTTAAAAAAAAACCCCATTGGCAGTGCTGGTTACTAAAGTAGCGCTCAACTTTTGAACCCAGTCTTACCACCCTCTAAAATGTTGGACTGTCCTGTGTTAAGGTGGGATATTAATAAAGAACTCGTGGGTGTTATCATCAACATTTCACTAACCACCATTACTCCCAACGGTACCCATTTTAGGCTAATCAGACCTGGAAGCCAAGAATAATCTGCCTTGATCCATATTTGAACCAATGAACTTTTAGATGGCATACAAATAAATGTCTAGCCACTATTCTACCATCGCTCCCTATGTGGTCAGTTGCATCCTGTTAATATATCTTTTTCCCCTCTCATTTCCTTTCAGCCAAACCGAATCCGCCAATCAGGATCAAGTTCCTGGATGTGACCCACAATGCCATCAAATTGACCTGGCATGCTCCGCTGGGACCTGAAGGACACAGTATTATTGCGTATACAGTAGAGATGGCCACCATCTGCCCCGGACGAGACAGCCTTTGGAGGATACTTTCCACGTGCTGCCAGGGGACAACATACGAAGCTCGTTACCTTGAACCTGACACAGATTATGTGTTTAGGGTGAGGTCTGAGAATATCTATGGGGTCGGAAAGCCCAGCCACCCCTCAGATATCTGCACGACAAAAATGTACGAAACTTTCCCTGCCGACTTACGTCCTCCTGGTGTTTCACATAATTCCCTAATCGAATCTGGCTCGTTTGCTAAGCGACATTACAGTTTTAATATGCACATAGGAAAAGGCGTCAAGTCTATTCTAAATCATTCAGAAATAGACATAGAATCAAGACTGTCGTCCAATTCTTCATTTGGTTCAACCTCAGACACGCTCAAAAAACCTCACACGTTTTTGAGGAGTAACATTCATCGTACATCTCTGCCAACCAACAGAAAAATTTCAGCTCCCCTCTTACTACCTGGGACAAGAAACAATTCTTTAAATCGCCTACGAGAATCTCGTAAATGTTCAAAGACAGAAACTTCAGATATCAAACTCAGAACATCTATCAGAGATTCTGGTATTAGTGGACTTCAAGAGTCTCTCACAGTGTTTGATTCTAGTTCTGTAAACAGCCAGTTTTCAGAAGAGCACGGGGATGAAAAAAACCATGATTTTATTAGAAGTCATAGATTGCCGGTTCACTCTCATACTTTGTGTGCCAAATCCATTGATGGCGACAGTGGGAAGGGCTCTAAAAGTAGCCTGTGTGATTCCATGAAGATCAGTGACAGTCAGAGTATCATTGACAGCACAGATTCTGAAATTACTGTCAGTGATAGGAAATCAGTAGCAGTTAACAGCAGCACGGACAGCTGTGAAAACATTGACATGTTGAGTGACATTGATGAAAATGTGGACATTTATAAAACCAGTTCTTTGGTTCACTTTAAAAACGCTGATATTTATCAAAAAAATCCTGTGGGTGAAATTGATGAACATACTCCTGTTTGCAAATCGCCAGAAAAACTAAACAAAGTATATTTTAATGACCAAAACCTCGTGAAAAACCCCCCATGTGATAGTAATATTCAGTCGGCTGATGCAGTTTTCACTCGGGATTCCCAGAAACAAGAGTACTATGATACTCTTGACAACCCCTGGCAAAAAGACACACCAGTCACTGATACTGGGAACCAGATTCTGACTGCACCGGTCAGTGATGATGTGAAGATGGCGCTGTACAACAAAAATCCCAGAAACCAACGCTTCACAACTGGCAGAGGTCGCTGTATTAGTGGACTTGCCACAAAAGAAGAAACTGATTTTCGGAAATTGAAGAGTGTTCTGCAGTCAAGCAATGTGATTATGAAGACTTCTCGGTCTTTACCTGATGTGGTAGCAATCGTAACTGTGAATGGGAAAACTAAGACTGTAATCAAAGGAAAACTAACCACTATCTTGAATAGTGGTGCTAATGAAGATGATGATGATGCAGTGAGAATCACCACATTGTAAGTAGTAGCTGCCACCAAAAACTAACAGATGCAGCCGGTTATGCATAAGTAGCTGTCACCAAAAACTAACAGATGCAGCAGGTTATGCATAAGTAGCTGTCACCAAAAACTAACAGATGCAGCAGGTTATGCATAAGTAGCTGCCACCAAAAACTAACAGATGCAGCAGGTTATGCATAAGTCTTTATCCTGATCACAAAAGAGTGGCAATGTTGTGGATAAATATCATCAACAGAGGTGGTCTAGGATACCCAAGACAACATTTGTGAAGAGGCAGGTATGCCTGTGCCGTCTGGCAGTGCACCTGCTAGTGATGATTAAGATGCCATTGTATGTATACATGCCTACATTTTGTAAGCTCAAGAAAGATAAACTCATCTTGAACGTGTGATGGCTGTAATAATTTATGGAAAGAAATATCTGGAAGACAACAACATAATTATTGACCTTTATCATAGTACAGAAAGGTGGCAAAACATGAATTTGTCAGATCAGAAGAGTTGATATAGAATGCCGGCCAACTTGAAGAGACAGAACATTTTTGACTGATTTTTGACACAGAAAGATACTGTGCGTGCTGAATTTGACATGCTGCAGTCGGCAGGGGATTTGAGGAGGATGTCCGTCATATAAAACAGTTTGTAAACTGCCTGTGATAGTTCACTATAATTTTCTCTGTGTTTAAGATCTGATCAGTCGTGAGCATTTTCACACCTGGTAGAGAGAGGACCACTCTTTATTGGAATTCCAATTTGAGAAACAAAAAACACAGTGGGAAGATCAGCTTCTCTGGCTCCGCCTCTTTGTGCTGAGAACATCGCATAAGACACAAACTTCTATAGCACTAGCAGTGACCCATAGCGATCTCTGAAAATGTTTCACAAATGTTGCACTCACCTAAAAGTGAATCAAATCCACTGTCTTCACAGCACTAGACTTGACCACTTTGCCAGGGGATTGAGTGTTGTTGTATGATAATGTATAATTGCTGTTCAGGGAAAGGTGATTGTACATTGTCATAGCTAGTGGATAGATAGATTACTGTCAGTTACCATATCCCTTGTGATTGTACATTGTCATAGTTAGTGGATAGATAGATTACTGTCAGTTACCATATCCCTTCTAATGGGTAGACCACTGCTTGTAACCACATCCCAGTTAGTGAAAAAAGTAACGGTATGAGCTGAGTTGAGATCACACACTTGGGGCATTCCCATATCCGCTCCATCCTCATCTCAGCAGCCAGAAAATCGTTCCACTTCTAATCGTACCAGTAGCAGTTTGACTATATATCTCTGCCTCATCATTTCTCTGAGTGTCGAATGTTGGCCAAAACAAGGTAAAACTGCTTCAGTATCCCTGTTGAAGGACAATTCATTGCTAATGGATTGATCTCAGCTACTACTTTTTTGCTTTCAATAACTGCTGGTTTCCATTTACCAGCTATTGCTGAGATTCGGCCAGTATAGAAATTCCTCCTGTCTTACTAATAGTTGCGGTGAATTTGCTGAACACTTGACGGAGACGCAGTGTAATTATTGTTGATGTGATATGCTCCAAGACACCGTGTCCTGCCAGGAAGTGTTACAGCGTTGAAACAAGCCATATTCAGAGATTATGTTTTATGTTAATTATTATGGACATGTTTATATTTAAATACATTTATTTAATTACAGCTACATTATATTATTTATGTATTTGAGCGACTTCTACATTATATTATTTATGTGTTTGAGTGACTTGTTTATGTTTTTAAACTTAAATCAAAGCTTTCAGGTCCTGTTGTCTGTATATATGTTTTTGTGTATATATTTACGAGTTTCTTTTTGTGTGTGTGTGTGTGAACAGATATTTAAGTTTATAACTCTTGTTTCTGAAACAATCAGATCTTTAACTATATGTAATATATGAAACTTCACAAAATTAGTACCTCCTTCTCCTTCGCGTTCCACTGGCTGTAAACTCCAGTGGAAAGCTCTGATTGTTCGTCCACCTCCAGAATTTAGTATTGTTCTAGAACCAGTGTTGCATGCACATCTGTTTTACAAATCTGACTTATTTATATGCAGACCATTGGTTCCTTGCCTGTCAAGGAAAACCCCAATTAGTCAGCTCTTACGACATGCTTGTTGGGAAGGTAGTAAGTATGTCTGTTCTTGTTTTCCCTCAACAATGGGGCCACAGAACCCACACAGGGATAATGAGTACCACAATTTCCAGAATGTTGTGGGAATTGTCTGAGAAGGGAAAGCAACAAAGAAGTGATCTGGTCGCAGCGCCACATGTTGTAAACTAGAATATGTGAATATTGAACCCTTGTCATCCCAATTGTAGTATGCTCTGTCATTGCATTGAACAGGGTTTGTGACAGTGTTCTTCAACATTTGTACACCTGTGGACTAGGACAAGAGACAACAGATCAGATGGTTTTGACAAGGCTACCACCAGACAGGATACCACAGAGAGCCCTGTCACTTAGATATAATAGAAGCAGATCTGCAGGTCTATCACAGAAGCGATGGATAGGTAGTATGTCAGAGGCCATAAATACCCTCACATACCAAGGCTTGCATTGGATGCCTCTTCAAATCCTGCCAGTGAAAGGCACAGCATGACTAAAGAAGAAGAGGAAGACAAAGAACCAGAAAAATAGAAATATTCATATGACGGCTAAGATAGAAAACAGACAAAAGTAGATGGCATTTTGTACATTTCATTCTCCACATGTGGGTTCTGGGGTCTCATTGTGGGGAAGACAAGAAAAGACCCACTGCCTCTCCAGCATGTATGTCAGAGGAGTTGACGAATTAGGGGCATCCTTCGAAGTCAGAGTGCATCTGTCTGAGGCAAGGAACTAACAGTCTGCATACAAAATAAGCCAGATCTGTAAAAGGATGTGCACTCAACACTCAGGTTATTAAACAGTACTAAAGTCCAGAGGTGGAGAACAAGAACTTTCCGCTGGAGTTTACAGCTGTTGAATGCAGTGAAGATGAAATGTTACATTCATTGTTACCAAATTTACATATATAGCAACATACAGATATCAGTCATGGACTGTCTGCCAGTATTTAAGGAAAAACAAAGAAATACCTGATGTTCTAAGAGATTTTAACAAAATCAAGGAAGATTGGCTAATAAACAGCATCTTGTCTCAAAAGCTGAAATACTTTGGCCATATCAATCACCATGGCGGATTGAAGAAATTGCTAGCAGAAGGCTTGGTACCAGCAATTCAGGCTTTCAAATGTAAATACTATAGTCACATTTTACGAATTAGTTATTTAGAACACAAAACTAATAAATATGTCAAGATACAAAATATACACTATCGCAGGACATCAGGAGCCTCTCTTGACAGTGGTGAAATGTCATAAGCTAGCTTGGTTTGGGCACGTGGTGAGACATAATTAGATTGCTTCAAGGAACTGGGGGGGGGGGGGGTTGTTGAAGAAGAGGGCAAAGAAGATTCTGGAATGACAACATCAAGAAATGGATAGGACTAAGTTGTCATACACTTATTCATCAATTGGAAGACAGAGAAAGATGGCAGGTTTTATGTGCTAGTGCTTCCACCTATACACCTCCACAACCCTAAAAGATCAAGGGTTATGTTATGTTATACCAGCAAGGAGAGTTGGGGCCGACAAGCATGAAGATGGGCACAGGATGTAGGTAACTGGTGAGAGACTTGAGTTCCTTTCAGGTTGACCTGGATGAGAGCGACATTCCGCAAAGTTCCTGTTAAGTGATGATGTTTTCAAGTTAAAATTTGTTAGTTAATGTGACATCTGCTGCTATTTAGAGATTACAAAGTCTGACATGGCTGGAATGTTTCACATAACTTCTGCATGATTAGGCAGACATTTTTAGTGGACATCATTCTGATGAAGATGGGTCTGTCTGGCAACATTTATCTGTATTTATAATAAATGAATGCATCAGTCCCAAATTTGTAACCAGCACACAATTACTTGTTTGTTTATTTTTCTTTTCTTTAAACATAAAAAAAAACAAAATTTAATTATTTGATGCTTCATGTTGTTATTTATCTCTTGGGCAGCAGTTTTCTTTCATTTCAAATGTGTGGTTGAGGTTGCTTCTTATTACTAACTTGTACGACAAACTTGTTAGGTATCTGTGGGTCTACTTCTACCTGCCCTGAAACCCACAGGAGAAAAGCTCTTTGTTTACCCCATTTTTCTCCAAATAAGACAGCAGGATTTTCCAGATTTCTCAGAGTTTTAAACTGAGGATTGTCTTATACACAGAATATGTTAAAAATATTTATTCGTTAATTGTGGTCTAAAAAAAGAGTAATCTTTTACAGTGCAACATCTTATACACTGAAAAAAATGGTAATTGTTCTTGTTAGCACAAAGTCCTATTTCTGTATATGCAAATTTTCAAGGCTTCAATTCAGCTTTCTGTGTGTTCAATGTCTTGGTTTCTGCTGCATGTAAAATACATACCTAATGTTTAACTCTTTCAGTCCCAGGGGGTTTAGTATTATAGGCCATATGGTTAGTAAGGAGAAACATATAAACTGCGCATCTTGCTTTTATTGGGCTTCTAGGTCAGCACGTATCAGTTCGCATAAGATGTGTCCCGTGGGACTGAGAGAGTTTATAATGTTCATGTTTAATATGTTGATTATCTCTCTGGATGTTAATATTATATTACTGCTTTTGTGCTTTCTAAATTGAAATCCATATCTTCTGTCCCAATATTACATAGCTAGTTTTGTGAGTTCAAAAATATACATCTGTATGCATTCCAAGATACACACCCATGTGCATTCCAAAATACACACCCATGTACATCCCAAAATACACACCCATGTACATCCCAAAATATACACCCATGTACATTCCAAAATATACACCCATGTGCATTCCAAGATACACACCCATGTGCATTCCAAAATACACACCCATGTGCATTCCAAGATACACACCCATGTGCATTCCAAGATACACACCCATGTGCATTCCAAAATAC